TTTTCCAGCGGCAAGTGGCAATCCCACACCAACTAACTACTTAATACTTAACTAACTATAAAGGTTCAATTGTTGCAGTCTTGCAGAGCTGGCTGATAAACTGTAAGAAAAAAACTGCCAAACGATGTCTCACTTGATTGCTGCTCCTCCTGCTTAGCGAGCTCCGCTCGCGCAGCAGCTCCGTTTCGCCTTCTGTAAATATCCGTTTTTCATTACTAATTTTAAAAATACCGTCTTTCATCGGTATAATACGAAACTAAAGAAACAGTGTCAACAGAGAAATGATTAGGTTAAAACTACCGCAAAACACTGCCTTTTACCTAAGTATCAAGCAGCCACCGTCATCCCGCAGCTACTTGATAATTGGTACTGCCAGGCTGCCAGCAAGATTCGCGACGCATGCAGCTCTCACTTGGGACACTTCCTAAGTTCCTGGGTCGTTTGTGCGTTCGGTTGTCAAAATAACTTAAATCTTTCTTGTGCCTAAATTTTTATTATCCTTAAACCCACCGCTGTTAATATAATGTTTCTTAAAGCCATTGCAGACCAAATACATCAAAACAAACAAAATTTTTCGAATTTTGTTTCACGATATAACCCGCGCAAGCTCTGCAGCAAGGCAGTTACTTTAAGTCTTCGCTGATTGGTTGTGTTGGGGTTCCGTAGACTTTGTATGATAGGGTTTTTACAGTTTTCTCTCAAACGATGTTTGTTTTTTGAAATCCGAAAGTTGCGGGCTCATCTACGAAATCAGCGCTATCGAATGATCCGTAAATGTTGAATATTGATCCACTCTGCGATTCTGGGGGATTTGACAGACACACTGATCACGCCCCCTCTTAATCTTTTATTATAAAGGATATCTGAGAACAGTGAATGAGTCAATGATGGAATCTATTGTAAATAATATTAATTTAAAAAGGGTGCCTATAATAAACAGGGTGCGAAAAGGGGTGTCTATAATATACGGGGGCTTCATACCTTTTGCAGTCTCCAGATAATACATAATCAGGCAGTACGTAGCTCTTTGACAACATTAGAAGAGCATTATAATTATACCATATTGCCATATATTTTTTTAAAAAAAAGCGCACAATTAACAGAATAAAAGTGCACATATATTATGTATTTAGGGAAGTCCGCACTAATGAAAAATTTATGAAGCTACAAAATAAGTAGCACTGTCGTCAGCGAGCTGTAGCCACTTCTCTACGGTCAGAGATCACCTGTCGTCAGACTTGCGAGGTTATGCGTTATGCACCGAATTAGACTGCGATATCGTGGTGCAGTGGTTTACGTTCTGCCACCCAGATGTATCCGTAGGGTACCGCAATTTGTAAAAACGTGCTTTGTAATAAAATTTGAAAATTAAAAAAGCAATTTATTTTACTTTGATTTATTTTAATCTAACTAAACTTAAATATTTTACTTCAGCTTTTGATTACTTTAGTTTGTTGCCCAATTTTTAACCAATGTTCACTTGAATAATCCAATGAAATAATCCAATGAAAACGCTTAGATTAGTTACTGCACTAAAAAGCCTACTGAATAATATTTAAACAATTCTATATATTTTATTCTAATTTTACGTTAAGAGACTTTTAATTGGCGGATAAAACACTTTTTTAAACGTTGATTAACTTTTTTTTTAAAATTGCAAAGTTCGAAAGATTGTTAATAATTTCTGATTAGATTTTAATTAACCGCAGTTGATAAAAAGTTTTATAATTTACTGTTTTATTCACTCTATATATATTTACTGTACAGGAATTTTATTTTACCAAGTAAAACATATGGTTGAACTTGTTATGACATATAAATTAAGAAGGGTTCAATAAGCGGAATAATATCTTCGTATTCAGTACTGTACACCTATGTAATTATTTGATACTAAAATAATGTAATGTAACATTAACGTAGTGCCCTGCCGAAGACTGATTCGATGTATTTCGCCGTTGTTGACGATCGCGGTCGTTGTAAACTGCTTGCCTATAGTCGACTAAGTTAATAAGGTCACTAGAAGCTTGCACCGCGGTAAATCGTTGTCAGGCATCTGCAAGCGGTTTACTATCATCATCGTTACAGATTGCTCGCCGGAGTTTTCTGTTGTTCGCAGGGAAATGCAGAAAAGCCGCGTTAAAAAATTATCGTGACATTTTTTCTGAAAATAACCAAATACTAAGCACCCAGAATAAATTAGCGAAACTGTGTTAGCAGCGCGTAAAAAAATCTACAAATACACTTTATGGTAACCTTTTAATTATCTAGCGTTAAATGCTCATAGAAAATTAATGGAATGGATGATATAAAAAATACTAAAATACGTATTTAAAAAATGCGTAAATATCTTTTTCGACTAGGAAGTAATAAACTGGATTCATTTTACAGAATGGGAGGCCGAAATAGCACCGAGAAAAAAAAGACCGAAACCCTGAGTTATAATTTGGAACTCCTCGTGGTATACAACCAAAATCCCCAAGGATGTAAGGTTTTTTCTTTTGCTTTTACTAATGCGAACATCGGTTCATTTAACTAAAAAATGTAGCAGGTGTAAAACTAGTAAAAGGGCACTCATTTCGCGTGCCCTTTTGTAAAGGGTAAAGGGTTGTAGGGCACTGCATGATCGAAGCGTAGCAGGAATTTATCTGTATACGAGCATCATAAACTTACAGAGTACTTAGGCTTTTGCTGTTAGTAGAACAGTTTCACATATTTTATTCTACAGAATAGCATTCAATTTTGAGAAATAATAATATTGTAAAATTTAATAAGAGCATATGTATTCGGGAATACCATCCGCGTATAGTTACCGTTCCGTGTATACTAAAATACGTATATAAAAAATACGTAAATATCTTACGACGTAAATACGTAAATATCTTTTAGGCTCGTGGACTTGTAGTTTCTCTCGGTAAATTGTCTACGTATACTAGTATACGTACTGCTTGTACTGTCTACGTATACTAGTATACGTAGACAGTACAAGCAGTACAATGCAATTTTTCTACGAAATCGCTATGGGTACTGTCACTTCCAATTTACCGAGAGAAACTACAAGTCCACGAGCCAGTCCACGAGTTTTATTTATGATGCGGCTCGGTACGACTACACCTGTAGTCGTACCGAGCCGCATCATAAATAAAAATTAATCATTTCGAACCGTAGATGAACATGTGTTAGTGTCCTACAGACCTGTATTTCGTTATTTCTGTAGATACCGCGTACTGGTCATAAGCAATATCTGCATATACAGATGCAACAACAATGCAACAACAATTTACTAGCGCTGAAATTTTAAGAACTGAGGAATGATAGGCTGTTTTGTAGTTGTGCCGGAGCGCCTGACCAGTTACTTGGTTCAGCACGGGATCAAAGGCACCTGGACCTGGATTACTCCTCGCGGTACCAATCGAAGGAATTATTTCATGCTGATGGGCCACGAGGAAGAAGAGACGATGGAAGCAATGAAAGCACATGCCGAAGCCATGTAAGATGATAAAATATGAGCCTGATGATATTCTTAGTGGTAAAATTATTATTCCGATATAACGTTTGTCGCGCTTTACTTTGAGACGTTCAATTAGGGAGAACTAAACACCGTACAGCAGCTTGATTATACAGCACTCCCGGTAAGGATATAGGCACTGCGTACGTACGGATTTGGCTGGCTAGTGCACCCGTCTACGGTTAACTGATAACTAGGAACCGGGAACCGGTAAAACCGGAAATCGTTTATGGACTTGTATGGCAACAAATGCGCTACCGACTCACGTTATTAGCGTTTTCCCCGAGTTATAGTATAGAAGTATGCATATCTTTTGATTTGCAGCATTGCACTATCAGCTGGTTGCTTGTGATTGGTAGTTTGTTGGTAGTGAGAAGGGAACTAAGCGAATGCAGCGAAGGATCTTTCTGTGCAAATTCAGTTGTATATGGCGCAGTACACATGCTCGAAGAGCTCGCTGATCCTGTTCAACATCGCTGTTGAACAGAAAGAGCCGCTTTATATACGATCGGTGCAAACGCGTTCTCATTTACAGGCGCCTTTCTGGCTCCACGGTTTTTGCGTCAGATTCCAAGCAGTGGAATCTTAAAACTTTAACTGCTGTATTCGGTAGGGCTGGAACAGCCGCCGGCATATAGCCGACTAACAGCTTGGTGAGCCGTATGCCGCTTCAGTTTGCTTTTTTCGGCTATTATATATATATATATATATAAATATATATATTGCCTTGCCGTTGTGAAATTTGAAGTGGAGAAACGCCGTTTCAGAAAGCCTTTGTTCGTTTAGAAGAATAATTTGTGTATAACGGATAACACTTAATTTTGTGAAAATTATTGTAGTGTTTCTTCATTTTAATTTTTAAAATCTTTAGTCTTATTGGTTTTATTCCATGCGTCACAAAAACAGACCTTTTTAGCATTGCTAGGTTGCATGCAACACGCAGGTTTCTAGTCAACATTTCTCAACGAGTTTCTTAAAAATCATTAAGTACAGAATTGTACAGTGTCACAGTGACATCTGGAAGATCGTCTGCCTAGCTGGAAGCCTTTTGTAAACTGAGTTACGGATGCATACGTTTGGTCAAGCCCAAACCTTTATATAGAATTAGCAAAGCTAATTCCGATTAATCCAGCGGAGGTGTTTTGCAAGGCTCGACGACTTGGTAGACCAGTGTCCAGCCGAGAAAAGTCATTAGGGTGTGTCGTGCGGATGTACATTCCGATACTGGAGAAGCCATGCATTTATAATTGAGGAAGTCGCATAGCGATCACACATTTGTGTTTGGTATATTTTAGTTTCGTTTCCTTGGCGCAGAAGTAAAGTTCATTTACATGTAACAAGTGTTTGCCGTCACTTATCTCAGCCTATCTCGGCAAATGCAACTTATCTCGGCACGATATGTTTGCAATAGCGAAAGGTCAGACAATGGTTTTGATATGATAGCAACAACCAAGCCGTATGCATAGTGGACTTCAGAAAAGTTTTAACACCGACGGTATGCAATAACTTCAGAAGTCCATTGCAGACTGTCTGAATGTGTGTCAGTTCTGGTCAAGTTGCTAATGGCAAGTGCGCGTTGGAAACTAGTGAAAATTCTTTTCCAGTCTAATAGTTGCATGTGTTCAGTATTTGGTATTGCGTGTTTTGGCGTCCTGAGGTGCATCTCACGGAACGAAAAACAACCACTTCGTTAATAAATGCCATATGGTTTACAGACTGGCAGGCCTACACATTCAGCGGAGAGGTCCAGGGGAGGTGTCAAGTGAGGAGAATGTGTACCGATGGGATGGGATGATGAAAGCTGAGGGATATTCTGCACCATATCCAAGTGCCAGCGGTGGTCCCATGCAGGAAGTGTTCCCCCAGATGATGGTAGAAACCGTTGTGAAGCGCTTTTCGAACGCGGAGGAAGGAGGGTGGCATCAAGATGTAAGCATATTTGCACGCCATCATTTGTATAAATCACAAAATGTACGTACGCCACTACGCATACGTTGCCCGAAGATAGTAAATTTATGATTAGTTTTACTGGATTTCATTCGGCTACCTGTAGCTTTCTGTAGGTCGAAGGAGCGCCGACGCAGACAGTGGATCATCCTGTCGAGACAGGCCGATCGGCACCAACGGAAAAAGATAGTGGATTGTTTATGAACAAAGGGTTGAAGCTGAAGAAGTGGAAGAAGCGTGGTGGCTAAAAAAACTGCAATATTTTGGCTGACTAAAGTTTTTTTTTGGAATTAAATGTTTGAGGAAACGTATTAAATTTCTGTTATTCGAAAGGGCGTTCACGGTCCGCCTTTTTCGCAACTTTAATTTGCAAATTGCACACAAATGAAAGCGAAATTCTACGTTACGGTTTAGTTCACAGAAGTCTGACGAGGCTATTTATTAGAAGCGCGCGCAAGGTGAACGCGAGTTGTTACGACCAGAAAGGTCATCATCTACTAGCAACTAATTTCTTAAGCACATCGGCAAATTGCGTCCAAAGCAGCAGCATTCAGCAAAATACCGTGGCAAACATATAAAAACTTACTGAGCGAAAAATATGCTGCAGTTAAGTAGTGCAATGGCAAATGCTTGCACATTGGTAGTCCGTAGTTAAACAGTGTAATGGCAGAACCAGCGCATAACAAAAATAAGTAGGAATCGGCCAGTCGGTCTGCGATCGCGTCTCATCTACTTACTTTTTTGTCCGTTTTAGATTACGCATTCGTAGCACGTTTACTACTGCCTCTTTGTTGAATGAAATCGGTTAATAACTTTTAGGGCGTGGCTCATTTTCGTGCAGAGCCGGGTTGTCGTATGGAGCGAAAGCATCGACGTACTGATCAGTGCACTTACTGACCATATCTTTTCCACGATTTCATGACATAGCATAGGCTGTAACATTCCTGAATTTCATGAACAAAAGCTCTCTCGTGGCAATGTCGTCATTGCAGAACTAACAAAGGTACGATTTATTGTGCTGGAAAACCGTAAATCTTGAATCGTGTACTCGCGCACAATTATAACTTCTGCAGTTGTCTTTTTCGCTGCAGTTCCAACAGCTACCACCAATCGAATACCAAAAAGACCTCTTTATGGTTGCGACTTGCGAGCTTATCACTGCTTATACGGAGGGTCACTAAGTAGCGAGCAGCTGTTTGCTGAGGATTGTAGACTGGGCATACCTAGCAGCACAATATACTAATGCCCTTGATTTTCAATGAAATGCCAGAATTTTTAATCGATACTGCACTGCTGAACTGACACGGTGACCATGCGGGAACAGCAGCACTTGTAAGTAAGCACTTCTGATGCAGTAAACGCAATACGCGTTGGCTTAACACTGGCAGACAAGTGCGCGTATCGATCTGTGCAACATGAATATTCTGTACTTTCCTTTTCCCTGGACGAACGATGCACATGCACGTCGGTGGTGCTAACGCACCGGCACCATCGCAACTTCATATTATTTTGATATGACAACTGCTCCGGTGCAGTCTGTTAATACAGCAAAGTTGCGCAATTGTTGCAGCATTCACCGGTTTCAATCCTGCTATATCCGATTTCCCGGCGAAAGCGTTTGCGATAACTCTGGGACAATGTGAATGAGGGAATGTTCAAACGTATTCGTCTGCCACTCTCCGAAAGGTTTTACTGTACGTATTAGTCGGCTAATAATATTAAGACTCGCCAACACGCACACAATGTTTGCTGGAAAAGTGCAAACTTGCGGTTTTATACATTACCCAAGCAAAATTGCTCCCACGCGAGAGACATGATGGAAAATGTTTTGTCAGTGCGAATTAGCAGCGATCCCCTTATCACAGGGGTTTATGGACGATTTGTTGTCGATGTTCTGGATGAGGATGCTACTTATCGTGGGTACGTCTGTGCAGTCGAAAACGATCATTGTATGGTGCGAATTGGTGCCATGCAGCATCTACGGCGCCTCCCGATGGATAAATTGCGACGCACGAATTGGTTTCAATCTCTAAGCTTGGACCTTGACGATGTACCGGAAGAGATTGACGTCCTTGTCAGTGTGGAAGAGAATCAGCCCGAATCATGGCAGCCAGCTTGCATCATTGACGGCATAGTTATGGACGCATTCTCGTTCCTAAATGTGGAAGTGCAGCTGCCAGAAAATGTGGTTAAATGTTACTATGTTCTGGACTCCTCTGGTGCCGCTTTCAAACGAGTTAGGCGCCGGGGTTATCTTGGGGATCCCGTTATTCCACAGTCGTTTGTCAGTCATGAGATACCAGTTTCACAATTTGTTTCGTATTGTAGCAACTTTGCTGATACTCTGCCGAAAGTACGACAAATGCCGCGTTTTCGCAGTCGCTTAATGCAAGAAATTTGTGGAATTATGTTTATGGATGCAACGGATGATCACGTTGTTGTGTTAGTAGAAGAGGAATATAGTCAAACGTTAACGGACTCTGAAGTTAAAGCAAATGTTTTCAAACGCGTTGTGTCCGCTGTGGATAATTTTATGGGAAAATTTACCCTGGCAACAGAAACAATTTCTCGCACCGTTCTGAACGAACTTATCACACGAATCGTTGCTGGTCTAGGTAATGTTAGTAATCAAGTTAAACTGCACTTTGAAGGCCAAAACATTTTACGCTCGCGAGTCCAGTTAATACGAACATTGTCAGCGGTTACGTAAATGTTCACTCCGGTGTTCGTATTTTTAACTTGAAAAAGCGGAACCTATGGCACGGAGCTTTGTGATTGACCTGCTGAGGACGAAACTATAACTTTACGGATAAGTTCAAGCTGCATGTACTGTAGCCGCTGGATGAAATTGCACCATTTTCGGAACCGGCCACTACCTGCCCGTTGCCGGGCATCGTACACGTTACGGAGAACATCGAGCAGCAAAGTGTGTGTCAGTTCCCATGTACCAGACTATGTGGTGCAAATTCATCTAGCGGCTATACAAAGTAGTATTACAGTGTGCATGATTTCGAAAGCAAAGCAGAAATTTTCAGCATTTTTTGCCAACGTAGCGGAACTTAAACTGAACTCAAATTTTCGAGTAATACAGCGGAGCTTAGCGGCTTCTCCAAACTGCATACCGTATTCAGCGAAATCGTTTTCAGTAGAAAACTGTACATGGCACGTATACAGAACAATAATATGGTTCCGTCACATAAAACCGCTCAAAAGTTGACGAGCAATTTTGCAATCAATTTGCTAACTGGCTGTCCAATACGCATCTGCGCACATGTGGCGGAATAATACTGATGAGAGAAAACTTATTATATTTCATAAGGGTAGATACTTTTGGCCGTTAATCTGGAATTTCAAGGGTTTGAGCCGTTTGATGATCCAAAAAAGATATATAATTATTGTATTTGTTGTGCGAGTATAAATCTTGTCGTTTGTCGTATGTCTCTAGTGTAATCACTATTCCGGATGTTATTTTCAGTTATGTATTGTTATGTTTCAGACGTGAGTGAACCTCAGGAAGTCCATTTTGAAGATTTACTTAAGGAGCTGAGTATGGAAGTTTTTTCCTTTATGGATGTTTATGATCAGTACCAACTCCGCAGGTAAGCGCAGGAGGTTTGTAATTATAGAAAACTCTAGTACGTTAAAATTTTATATTTAGAAAAGATGTACGAACCCGGATTGCACGTACGACGATCGTACATTAGAATATATTAAGTACGACATGCAAAAATAGCTTCACTTTCGCGCCTCATGTTAAACTCCTTCACACTATGCCTGGATTGTGTGAAGTGCTGCACAGTGGTGTATCCATCCACATGTACCTAATTCCGTGAATCGGTGAAAATTCATAAAGGTAGTACTTTATCAGCAAAGTGCTGCGAATACTTTATACCTCCCGCATGCCGTGAATCCGTGAATCGGTGAAAGGTCAGTACTTTACATAAAGTCAGTACTTTATGTAAAGTACTGCCAATACTTTGTACCTCCCGTATGCCGTGAATCCGTGAATCGGTGAAAGGTCAATACTTTACTTAAAGTCAGTACTTTATGTAAAGTACTGCCAATACTTTGTACCTCCTGCATGCCGTGAATCCGTGAATCGGTGAAAGGTCAATACTTTACTTAAAGTCCGTACTTTATGTAAAGTACTGCCAATACTTTGTACCTCCCGCATGCCATGAATACGTGAATCGGTAAAAGGTCAGTACTTTACATAAAGTCAGTACTTTATGTAAAGTACTGCCAATACTTTGTACCTCCCGTATGCCGTGAATCCGTGAATCGGTGAAAGGTCAGTACTTTACATAAAGTCAGTACTTTATGTAAAGTACTGCCAATACTTTGTACCTCCCGTATGCCGTGAATCCGTGAATCGGTGAAAGGTCAGTACTTTACATAAAGTCAGTACTTTATGTAAAGTACTGCCAATACTTTGTACCTCCCGTATGCCGTGAATCCGTGAATCGGTGAAAGGTCAGTACTTTACATAAAGTCAGTACTTTATGTAAAGTACTGCGAATACTTTATACCTCCCGCATGCCGTGAATACACGTTGTTATCAGAAGATTCGGGAGAACTGCTACCCCCACGGAAGCGTATGCGGAAGCGGCCAACAAGCTGTGGAAAATCGGTGAGAGGGCGATCGTCCGCAATTTGGAGAGAAATGCAACTAGCTTGCAAATTATATCAGGCTGTTAGAGATTTAGTAGACTCTTGCACGACGTTGTCAGGATTTCATTCTATGAAGTATGAACGCTCCATCAGTTACGCGGAAGTGGATCAATAAATTCTATGAAAACTGAACTCAGTCTTCTCGTTCTTGCGCACACGAGCATGTCCAAGTACTAATGGCCCTATTATTGAAACTTTCTTAATACAAAGTACTATAAACATCAGGGTTGTGTAAGGGTGTTGCGCACTAACCTTTTAATGTTTCTGTGTACAGGTTGGCTATTATTAGCTTATACGTAATAATTTAATGATTAACCTAATTTTTGTTTTCATTAGTTACTAATAAGGTGAATTCCATAATTTCCATCAGATGTCATTAGCGACCATTACCACTTTAAATTTTGGAGTGCAACTTTCCAGAGTACAAAAAGCACAAGAGTTTATCGTTATATGTATTACAGGGGTGCCGCGCCAAGTTCGGAAAGTAGCGAAAATTAAATTTAAAAATATTTGTATGCTTGGTTCTACTTTTTATTTTGCAGTTTTCTAGTGTAACTTTTTAATGCAGATCTGAATATGCTAAAATTTTAAATTGCTAAACGGCGTAATAACTAGTCAGCCAAGTAAAACCTGGATGGGTTAGTAGTCATTTCCAGAGGGCTCATAACTGACCTTCTAGAAAATTCCCCACGTGATATTTTTTCATGGACAAATTCTGAACTGTTGGGTAGCGTTAAAGGTATGGAAAAGTGGTCAGCAAAAACTTTCTCGTGGCTGGTGCTGGAGGTGGCCCAGAAAGAAGGTGCACCTCCCATAGACTTGTATGTTAAAAAGTGCTTCCGGAAAAATGTGGTTGCCTAGCGCGCAGAGATGCATAACTTCGAGATCATGTTTTCGAAAAACAAGACATGCATAAAAGTAGAGGAATTTTGTATTCTATCTGTTATCTAACAAGCATGCAATAATATGGAGGTGGCAAAAGAATCGGAGAAAACACCGACAAAGCAGTGGCCAAATAAATTTCGCGCTGGCGCGAAAATGTGCTGAAACGGTATGTCGCAGGCATTTTGGGCAAAAAGAAAAGCCTAAAATGTTGCTCAATGCTTAGCCAACGAGGTATTTTTACATACTTGACACACCCGACCTACTGCGATTCCTGTGCGAGCTCTCGAAGGGCACCGTCCACCATTGTGACAGTGCCTCCAGCAATACTGCAAAGGTCACGTCGCCATCATTGAAACAGCATGGAATCAAACGAATTTAGCAAGGGCTTTGAATGACAAACAGTTCAGCGTAAACTTTTTTGGACGATAGCACCTGTGGAATTTCTTAACAAATTTTAGATGGGAGGGAGACTAGGAAGGTCGTTGGGTCTAATCGCATTTTTAATCAGGTCTGCATTACTTTAAATCTCGCTGTACTGCAAGCCACGCCCTCAGCCTCGCGACTCATAGTGAAAAGATGCATAACACATACGGTAATAATAAAAAAATCTAATAACTGGAAATTTATTTTTAAGACAACTGTCCGAACTTGGCGCGGCACCCCTGTAATATTCATTATGGCTGCGTGCGCGGGTAAACACGGGCGTTGGTTGGGTGCACCGGATGGATCTTAGTGTCCACGCGGGTGTTGGCTGTGGGCACGAAGTTTCTGCACGTATATATATAAAATAATATATATATATATATATATATATATATATATATATATATATATATATATATATATATATATATATATATATATATATATATATATATATATATATATATATATATGTAAAAATTGTATTTCATACTGAAAGGTCACCGGGTGTCCCCGTATCAGCGCTTGTTTGCTCTGTTTTCGAGTAGGTACTTTGAATCAGAGATTTCTTGTATTTTTCCAGAACAAGCAAAACTCTCCATCGCCAATTATCGTGCAAAACTCTCCGACAGTGCGTAATACTGCCAAACCAGCGAAAGCATGCTATTGAAAGTCTGAAGGTAGGCCCGCCCGGCAGTGCTTATCGAGACCTGGCTCACATTATCGGCAGCACTATCAGCCAAGATGCCAAAATTTTGTATTTCATCGATAACTGGGAACAAAGTTTGTTTGTACTTGCGAATGTGCTGAAGGTCATGCGCGTGAGACTTGATTGGTTGGTCATCGCCAACAACTCCACACTATTGCTGAACGAATTCCTGCCATTTCCTAAATCGTCTCTCATGTTGTATACACATGACTTTAATACCATGCACGTTAATTATTTGTCGGCGGAGAGGTACACGAACTACGCTTTTTGTTGCCGGCAGCTTGCCCTGAAGAATTGCTGTTTCAATAGCCAACTGTCGATATGCTTCAGAGACGTCATTACGTTAGGAAATGGGTGGGATATATACTGGAACTTGACTCCTGGACGATGGAATTTAAGGTGTTGCCGTGATCCATTCTTCATTGAGATCCCGCGGTGGCGGTACAGTTTTGAGGAAACAACGGCGGTCACATTTGAAGCATCCTTCCGGTCTGCGTTAGATGACCATTGTCCAGTACTCAGAGGACACGTGATCAAGAATCTTTTTTATTGGTTGAATTCCTTGACAAGCAAGGATTGTGAGCCGCAAACCTGCATTTGGGCGTTTATTGAGCTCTCCTACAAACTGTACGCATGGAGCAGGAAGCAGTACACAAATTGCTAGCTTGATATACGGATTATACTTTACAGGTGGAAGGAAAAACCACCCAAGCATTTGAATGACGTTAAAGCCGACATATCGCACAATTTCTCACGGAAGAGCTGTATTTTACAGACACTGGCCTTGCTGCTGCCGTGCATTAGCGACGGATTTTGCTGCGTTGCTAATGCAGTCGACGCTGATGCGTAGCCACGCCCGGATAATCTGACTCCACGGTAGAACCGATGTCGACTATTTCGTATGTCCTCATGGTCTTTCTTTTCAAATCCGCATGTCGTGCAGTTTTCATTGTAATTAAATACTTGTACGTACGTAGATGGTCTTTATTAATCCGCTGCCGCGCACCATGCTTCACACTGCACGATTCACCATCAACTAAACTGTGTAAACACAGTGTCGTTGGCTAAAAATACTGACCTTATAGCGCTTCTACCCGCGTACCCTGCACAAACCTACCACTACGGAGCCACCTGAAGCTATCAATTATTGTAAATGCTGCTCTAGTCAGCCTTTGATAAACTTAAATGCTAATTTCGCTTATGCAGTCGTTTCAGATGAACTACAAGAAATAATTTTAAAAGGCAGTTAACAAACGTTTTGGAGCTGTATAAATGAAGAATCTCTAGGGCAGTCGTTATTTTGTGCGCTTGATGCTTTAAACACGCCCAGGCAAGGCAAACCGACTACGCGCCAGGAAAACTTTGGTCGCACAGAACTAAAACTGAAGAGGACATAATACATATTTTCCACTTTTACTTAAATCGGGTTGCAAGAGCGAAATCTGGACACTGCTGTCTGGACGTTATAAATACTGCGCTTGTATTTGTTTTATCATACCTTGAAATCACTTTTTAATATAGGGGGAAAAATGTGTCTAGCCGAACCAATCCCTTGTACTTCTGATGTAAGCCAGCTGGTGGTTTACGTTGTGGCTTGACAGTGTTTTATGTAAGGGGGCATCCATAAATTACGTACGCAGAAAACCACGATTTTTTCACCCCTCCCTCCCCCTTCGTAGCGGTCCGTCACGTTTGCTTAACCCCTCCCCCCGTGGTTCGTTCAATCGTAATACATGAAGCGGACCACCCCCTCCCCCCTGGGTTCGTCGAGGCTGTCACAGCTTGTCACACTTTTTGGACCCCTCCCTCCCTGGTTCGCTGCGTACGTAATTTATGGATCCCCCCTAAAGCGCTGCCATTAAGATTGCAGGTAGATAACAGGTAAGCAGCACTCGTACAACTGCAGGTAAACAGGCTAAAACTGTGTTATAGCCCGGACCTGCCTGGTGCAGCTAATACCACATGTACCGTCAATGCCGCACAGCCTTAATAGCAGCGCTTTACATAAAACGCTATGCAGCCACAACGTAAACCACCAGCCGGCTTACATCAGAAGTACAAGGGACTGGTTCGGCTAGACACATTTTTCCCCTTATATGTCTGTGGCCCGATTTCTCAAGCTCTCACTATCACTTTCTGTCAAAGCAACTGGTCCCACAGAGGCCGCCATGTATTATTTAATGTATTATGTGCCCTTAATAATGTATTATCTGTATTATATTTAATGTATTAGCTGCCCTTAATAATTTATTAAGGGCAGATTCAAAGATATAGTACTTCGTTTATCATAAAACATGTAACGCCTACTATAGTTTGTTACTGAGCTACTGCGGTAGCAATTTCACAGTGAAATAGTTCTTGTTAAACTTACTGCCTTAAACCCTGACGAGGCGAGCATGCTCGGTCATTCTAGTGATTTTGTGTTAATAATCTTAGCATGCATATTTCAGCCACAGGGTGACTTTTTAAACGCATTATTGACGCATAAAATACTTAAGGGAAATGGCCCGGTACATAGCGTCAAAAATGGGATACATACGCTAAAACTTCGCTTGCGCGCACTTCCAATCATTATTTTGTAATACTTTATGTCATTCTAAAGCTAAATGATTTGTATACATTGTTCTGAAAACCGTTCGCGCGCGCAACATCCGGTTGCTGAGATATAGTGTATTAAAATGGGCGAAAAGTTTAAATGCATTGTTGTGTACCAAAAGTCTGGTTATTATCCGATCTTCTTGAAACTTTGCTGTAAAAGGCACATGGCTATAAAGTCGAAAGTGAACCAATTTTAGGTCCATAGCACTTTCCCATAATTTTAAAATGAATTTTAAAATTTTTGAAATTCATTTTAAAATCGGAAAAAAATGCTATGGATCTGATATTGGTTCACTTTCAACTTCATGGTCATGTGCCTTTTACAGCAAAGTTTCAAGAAGATCGGATAATAACCAGACTTTTGGTACACAACAATGCATTTAAACTTTTCGCCCATTTTAATACACCATATCTCAGCAACCGGATGTTGCGCGCGCGAACGGTTTTCAGAACAATGTATACAAATCATTTAGCTTTAGAATGACATAAAATATTACAAAATAATGATTCAGAGTGCGCGCAAGCGAAAGTTTTAGTGTATGTATCCCATTTTTGACACTATGTACCGGGCCATTTTCCTTAAAGTATGGTACAGTTTGCTTGGATCGGCAGTATGATCCGTTTTACTCTGGCGTTGGCTGTGTCTCGTTGTCGACTGCTTGAGCAACACTGCAGAATCCACCAGTGATACACGGAAGTAGTAGTGCCAGTGGATACATAACACAGCTCTTCGGGAAAACTAATGAGATATTATGTCGGCTTTAACGGCATCCAGGTGCTTAATCGCAGATTTAGATTCGTTAGTTACTGTATTCTAATAGGCTTTTGTACCGGTGTGCAAGATTCTCACCATTTGTCAACAGCTATTTCGTTTTAACCGACCTGATCAATTCTGTGCGACAAAACTATCGTATTTCGAAAGCCTTTTTACTCGGTTTTGGTGGAATTCTGCTGTGCGGCGAACAACTTTATCGCAGATCGAGTAAGACAGGTTATTTCAGGGCTAAAAACACAAGGTACTCCTGGGCGACTAAAGTTTACCGCGATGGCGACGCATTAGCTAGCATGCACAGATGCCATGATTTCGTACGGAAGAAGAATACTTCCCCTCGTTCCACCTGTACAGATAAATTAAAATCCTTTTAAGCATCACGCCGCCCTGATGCCGGTTGTGCAAATGATGCTCCATGTTTACAGTGGGTAGTACTAGTTAATGTTACTGGTAGTGGTACTGATAGTAGTAGCATGTTATGTTAGTGTTACTGTTAGTGGTAACGACAATGGTTCTTTTACTGGTAGTGGTACTGGTTGTGGTAACATTTCATGGTAAAATGGTGCTGGTAGTGGCAGCGATTACGATACTGCCACAAGTAAAAGTGTTACCGGGAAATTGTTATAACTTCGCTTCCAGGTCAATAGATCAACAGAGAGTGCCGAAATACGATTTAGTTCTGCAGTTTTGTGAAAAAGTTGAATTTCTGAGATTTTTTTAAATTCTTTTCATGCTACAAATGTTGTCCTTTTGATGAAATTGCGTGATCTCAGTTAAGCAAGGACAAGTGGAACTTGATAAACCAGACCAACATTTTATTCAGCCACCCGGTAAAACACCCGCCCGTACATAAGATCGAACAAAAAATTATTAATTTTGTTACTTTCATAACTGCCACAGCGCCTCTTAGTGTGCCTGGCTGCCGCTTGTGTTAGCAGCCGACGAAAACTGCAAAACTTAATCGTATTTCGGCACTCTCTGTAAATTTATTAACAAGGAAGCGAAGTTATAATAATTTCCCGGTAACACTTCTGCTTGTGGCAGTATCGTAATCGCTACCACAACCAGTACCACTACCAGTGGCAGAACCACTGTCGCTACCACTAACAGTAACAGTAACATAACATGCTACCACTACCAGTACCACTACCCGTACCAGTAACATTAATTAGTACTACCCGTTTACAGTTCATAAGATCAGACAATTAACGGCCAAATGCATTCTTCTGGCTCACAATATTTGCTTGTCAAGGAGTAGAGCTGTCGTACGAATTCGTGTAAGCGAGCTTCTCCGGAATAAATTATCAGTCGGTTCCCCATTCTTTGATGGCGGCAAGGGTGCTTTTTTGACCGTGATCAAATTAGCTAAAATCTACAAAGCGAAATCCACTAATTATTACGCAGGTAGGCGTAACAACATGCTTGTCCAATAATGTCGAAAATGTATTTGTAGCAATGCAGTACTACCTAGAGTGGTTGTTGCCAGTGCGTATCTACCGGATGGTTGACGATGATTTAAGTTATCAGTACTTGTATGGCAGATGTACATGGGCTGCGTTGCTATTGCTTCCGTTTCCGTACACTGTTTATTCCGCACAGCATGCCTCCCGATGCAGACCAAGTTGAAGTATATGCCCATCAATTTGGTAGCAGATTCGGAAGAATAAAATACTATGTCGTGGAATTTGGCTTGGTTCCCTTTTTTTCGCTTCTTGCTGAAGCTGTGCGGTGGTAATATCCCCAAAGCGACTCTCGTCGCACAAACTTCCCTACGTTTATACGTTTTTCACATTGCGCAAATCGAAGCAATGGAGTGTTCAACCGTTCATGCTGGTTTCTGTCTCCTTTAAAAATGGTTTTATTGTTTTTAGAAAATATATAAATGCTTTGACGATTGCCGCGGAAAGTATTCTGGCAGTGTAAAATACTGACAAACTAAATAAGTACGCCAATGAAAGCTCAAATGTGAGCCCATACTGCTCTGTAACCGGGATCTAGCTCACGTTATCGGGGATACTATCCGCCAAGATGCCAAAATTTTGCATCTCATTGGTAATTGGGACGAATGCCTTCTTCAAACGCTGGTAACAATGCACATGCACCTAGAGTGCACGGAAATTATCTCTTCCCAGATTCGATAATGAACTCACTGATGTCGTTCTTATTTTTATGGCATTATACTCTGAAGAATAGCAGGCGATCAAGATCAGGTCATGGGTCTTGGAAGATAGCATTTAGAATGATGCTGATGCTGCCACTATCCGACTCACATTTCATTTAACGCTCGAAATGCGCTCGAAATTACAGTCAGTTTCCTAATTTTTTGTTCAGGATGAAAAAGGGTTGTGGTTTATACACAGCCTTAGAGAAAGTGAGAATGCTTTGACTCAGTCAGTCCAGTGCGTATACAGCCGTATTGACTACGACAAGCTTGAACCAAAAATTAGGAAATGGAAAGGAATCTGGAACCTGTAAAGTCACCCTAAACCAGAAAGAACACGAAGGTAAAGTGGAAGCAGTTTCGTAATAATTACTGATACATTAGAGCTCATTCGGTATTTCAGCTGTAAATTGTTTTTCAGCTGGCTAACGAAAGCGTGCAGATAATAAGCAGGTTGCTGATGCTGGTCCTTTATCTCGACAAGGTACCAATGAAGCAATCATCTATTCAACGAACATCAATGATGGCTTTGCGATTTTCAAGCCGCAGCCGGAAGCAAAAATCCCGAAAGTAAATTAAAATCATGCCACACCCCTTGCAGACAGGCAGCTTCAATAGTTTCTGGATAACCGGCTTGACATCATCTAGCGTATATGCGATCTCAAGCTGCTCGCGCGTCCGCTATTGAATTCAGCAAGTGATAACCAAAAATAAAGAACGGTGTTGTTTTTTTCAAAAATTTTCAAAGTTTGGTATTTTAGCTTGTTTTTCTAAATTTTGCAGAAATTGTGCACTTTTATCACCCAAGTAGTGCTTTATCTTTAGTTTTCTCGTTTTTTCTTGGTTACAACTTACAAGTGAGTTAAATTACATGCAACAGACATGTAGTGCACTGTTTTACGTGGAATCTATGCGGCATTCGGTTTTTTCTGTTACTGTACCTTATCCATATTCTAAACCCGAGGAAGTCCTCTTATTTTCGAGGAATACCTCTTATAATCGCGACGTTTTCCTTCTTTTGCCCACCATGCATTACATGATGTGTAAAAAGTTCAAGGCCAAGCGACGCCAGCGCAGGCGTGCAATGTTTAAAACCTTGGATCATTTATTTATGGGTGTCGCGCTCCTGACCCATGCTGACCGAGAATTCGAGCGGTTCTATGACCGCAATCACACTGGCTTAGAGGAAATGCCTCGGGAGAAGTTTCGAGCTTTTTTTCGAATGCGATCTTATGCCGATTTCCGACGGCTCTTGGATGCGCTGGAACTGCCTGACCGCATTGTGTGTTCGAACGGAACCAACGTAAGCGCCGAGGTAGCTTTTGCTGTGACATTGCGTCGTCTTGATTTCCCGAACCGGTGGGTTGATACAATGGATCTTCTGGGAAGAGACCAGAGCCAGTTATCCCGAATTTTTAATACGACCATTAGTCACATCTACAGCCGTAAAGGGCGGCTGCTCGAATCTCTTGACTGGATAACTCCAGAGGCCATTGAGAAATACTCTGAAGCGGTTTTCCGCGAAAGCAAAGGCCGATACGGTATGTTGGGACAGTATTTCTGTCTGTCGTTATTGCATAGAAGTATTCTTCATTTGGTGTCTGTGCCATAAATGTATGGGCTGTTGTAGAGCACTGCTGGGGCTTTATTGATGGTACAGCAAGAGCAATTTGCAAGCCGAGCGTATTTCAGGAAGAATATTATTCCGGGCACAGTGGCCGTCATGTGATGAAATTTCAATCTGTTGTCGCACCAGACGGGCTTATCATTAACATGTTTGGACCAGTGGAAGGACGAAGACACGATGCGTACATGCTGTTAAGGACCAAACTGCGAAGCCGGCTGAAGAGGAAAAACCTCGATTGGGGAAACCCCGATTACTGTTTATTTGCCGATAAAGGCTATACAATTTCTCCGGAAATCCAAACGCCATACAAGGGATTGAACCTAACTCCGGAAGAGATTCAGTTTAACAAAGACTTATGCTTATGTCGCGTTGCTGTTGAGCTAGGATTTTTAAAAATTGCAAGATATTTTGCATTTGGGAATTATTCTCGCAGCCAACAGTTGCTCTGGCAGCAGACAGCGAAAATTTATCTTGTCTCTGCTTTGCTTACTAACTGCTTGACCTGCTTGTACGGCTGCAAACTTATCAGTCGCCGGTTTAAGGTGGAACCACCGATGCTAGAGGAATACCTCGCCGCGGCCTTTATTAATTAAACAATTTTATTCAAGTTTCTCTGATAAAAGCTGTTATTACAGTGCTGCTACAGCTTGAAATTAAGTTTTTTCGTTATTTCTGCTCAAACAACGATCCATGACATTTTCCAAAGCCTTAACTGTTGCCAAATGTTTCTGCAAATCAGCTTCGCGGTCCTTATTCCGCTGTTCAATTTCTTTTTCTAAACGGTCTCTTTCCAGCTCAAGCTTTTGCTTTTCTATTTCTCTTTTTGCTTCCCTATCCAAGGCAATTTCTTTTTGTTCGGCACACCATTGCTTCCACTGCATGTCTGCGGCTTCCTTTGCCGTCTCCGAAAAGCACATAACGGCATCCACAATATCCTTTTCCCGTCCGCGGATTCCCGCTTTGGTGCTATCGCCTTTGCTTTTATTTGGCCCACTTGCTTCAGGAGAGCTACTAGAACTCTCTAGTTGCAACGCTTTTTCTGCAAGCAGACACATAATTTCATAAATTACGTATTGCAGGAAATCGTTACGGCTTGCAACACACCATTAAAACTGTCCAAATTATCGTAATCTTTGTCGTCCTCAGCTGCTTCCTGTAAGCTACTAGCTTCGCGGTTATCCGCTTCAACGGGGTTTCCCTTTCGAACTCTTTCTAAGCCGGACTTCGGCGTGGTGCGAAGTTGTACTTTTGTGGATTCGTCTAGTCAAACATAGTCACCATTAGTAGTAAAAAACAGTAATAAAGATTCCTAATCCTTAAATAATAAAATAAAAATTCGGCATGAAAGCGAGGTGGTTGAAGTTAAAAAATTATTACTTACATTGTATACAACACATTAAATTGAAAGACGTGCAGTTTTTCTGGTTAGATTAAATTAAGTTTTTTTGCATTTAAGCATTCTGAAACGTACCTGGATAATGAAGACGAAAGCTAGACATCCTGTCCAACCTCCCAACAAGACTTTCTTCCATTTCTTTTAAATATTGCGGTTCATCCGAATTATAATCTCGAATCTGGCCGTCATCTGTGTATCCTGTGATAGAACGTGTCGAGTCTTATTGCCAGTAGATATTCCCAAGCGCTTCATCGCATTTTGGCGCTTTTCTAATCCAGCTTCGCGGTCATCCGCTTCGAGGGAGTCCTCTCCAGCATCTCCGGATTGCTTTAGACGGTACATTTCACCAACGAGTTCATCTTCCTCCGATTTTGGCGGCGGTTCCTCTCCAGTTGGTCTTTCTACGTAAGTCTTTCGATAGTCAGCGAGCGCTTTCCCGATAGCATTTTGAAACAGACGTCCAGCATTAGGAGTATTCTCCAGCAAGTTCTTGGACTTCAAAATCTTAACAATGGTGGCCCAGCGCTTGTAAAACCCTGGGCTGTTACGCTTGCAGTCCCAGGGATTATTTTCAACAACCACAGCATACCGTGCACATGTTGAGATATCTCGTTGTTCTTCGTCCAGTTTGCGCTTATCTGCCTTTTCTTTTCTTTTTCGCTGTTTGCTAGTTTCTGGTCCTTTCGGACGACCTCTTGCTCTCTTCACTTCTGCAGCGACGCTGGAGTTTGATTCCGAAATATCAACAGGCGTCAGAGGACCATCCTTGGCTTCGCTCCGCGGTATTCCGCTAGGTATCTGCATAACAGCTTGCGCATCGAACATATCGTTACTGTCAAGATTATTTTCAGCTAATTGACTTGTCTCCGCAAGAAGCTGACTCGAAGATGGGACTTGAGGAAGGAGAACGCTGTGTGTTGAGCCGGGAAAAAATACGCTGACGAATTCATGAGGATCTACATTGCTCCAGTTCGCAATTTCTAGAGTGCCGCCAGCAAGTCTACTAGCTATGTCTGTTCTGCTAAATGGGCCATTTACTTGGAATGCCATGGCTAAGTACTCTATTTCACGAAAATTATGTAAAAGATGCACACAGAAGAAAACCACAGAGTCACAGATACTTATAAAACCGTGCAACTTCGAAATAAATGATTTAGAAAAAGAACCAAGTTCTAGAATCAAAAAAGGCGATAAAGCTAGATACTACTGTAAGTAGCTGCCGCTTGAATCAAGTACAACGTTGAGACTGTATTTTTGAACAGCCGAAGCTGCACGCCTAACGTCCCCCCCAGCCCCCCAAACGAAGCATCCAAAAACTTAAGTTTTTGGATGCATCAGAAGCTGCTTTGGCGAAGCAAGCGTTCGAAAGTGACATAATTTCGAACATGGCCAAAAATGGCAACCAATAGCGCGAGTGAGGCGGTTTTTCGAATTACATTTTCGGCTCGCAGCATCGTTTTCGTCTCGCCCCGGTTGCACGCCCGGGAAAATCGCATAGCCATCAATAATACCAGTTTCAAGTCAGGGGTGAAAATTTTATTGGTTTAGTTATTAGACAGTAATTTACACATCACTTACAAAAAACATTATAACACAAAGTAAACAGCATTTAAACCACCAGAACGTGGAACAGTGGACGTCACAGACAGCGCATTCCAGCGCTGTATTTCAATACTATGACGTTGCATCAAAAACTCTATGATGGTTTTTCTCCAGAAGCATCCTTCAAGCGTTTTCCTAGCTCACGTAAAAATTTCACACAAGCTGGGCCGCCGACGCTAAAAGTCTCGAAAGCTAAAGGAACGAAGTCGTACTCCGGCGCCAGATATTCGTACTTTCGGCACTTTTCTTCTTCCGCTTTCCTGGCAGCTTCTCCGGCTTTAACGCTGCTGATGATGACGTTAGACAAGGCCACGGTGTCAACACATGTCACGTTCCAAGGTAGTCGTGGTCCGTTTCTCCAAGGCGACTGCGACACACCATCCGGCCGGCGATCATCCTCGTCATTGGTCCCTCTCGGTTCCAGTACGGCCGGTATATTGGCGGTAACTAGGCTTCTCCGAATTGCTTCGTTCAAGGAAGAGTGACGAAGAAAACGTCCAGCGCTCTTCTTACAGGAAAGTCCATGGTGGCCGTATTGGTCGACAGGCAGACGGCAGTCAGCGCAAAGATGGGGACTGCAAATTGGCGCGCCGACACGTAGTCCAACTGCTACACGAAAACTCTCGTCTGACATCAACGTTCCGAGTGAAGGTACAGGGAGGGCGTTCAGCCATTTGCCCGATTCCGGCCGCGCAACTGCAAGCAAAGGCGCACAATGTGTAACATCATTTGCATACAAGTTTGTGATATCTTCGCAAGATTTTTTGACCAGAGCGGCGTCCCACACTTTCTGTGTCTTTCGTTGGTTTTCTGACGGTAATTTAGCACCCGATGCTGCTTGCCACAGTTGGTGCACCAAGTCAAGGCTCTCCGTTCCAGTCAGTGAATAAAACCTATGAATAGCTCAATGTACGAGCTCAATAGCTCAATGTAGCTCGTACCTGACTGCCTGGAGAATCCGCGTTGGCGCATTCGATGCCAGTCGCTCTTAATGTGAAATTGTGTCTGTGGCAGTAAGACCCTGAGCAGATACAAGAATACTTTTTTTTTGGTTTCCTTTATCAGTAAGGCAATTTTATGATTGTGAAGCTGATAATACGGGAGTAAAACTCGCTACATCGATTAAGCAGCGTCTGGAATTCGGTATTTTGTTTTTTCTGGTTTTCTGTTAATGAAGGACATCATTCCGCAGGAACACGTTCTATAAGAACCATCGAGATGCAAGTTTCTGTTGCATCGCGTGGTAAGGATTCCAGTTCACAAGCGCTGGAAAAGGTGGCGTTGTTCGCGTATATCGACAGCGTTTGGTGACCTTACCTGCCTCCATACGAACGATCTTGAGTAAGGATTTCCGTCTGCTTGTTACGGAATTTTGTCGGTCGCATGTCATTACACGAGATTGTCTTGCAAAGCAATTACAAAAGTTTATATGCCGTTTTTTTATTACAACCAGACAACAGCCTACTGTACTATGGTAATTCATAGCGTCTCGTTGTCCACCGCGTGTGTATTGGAACAAAATCCGTCAGTAATGCACGGTAGCAACAGAGCAAGTGTCTGCAACATCAATTTATTCGAAGAAAATTTGGTGGAAATGTCTTTTTTGGCGTCTTCTAGACACTTGGGAGGCTTTTCTTTCCACCTGTCCAATTATAAAAACCCGTTATGAAAATGAGAATATCTGCAAAAGCTTTTGCAGTTCAAGCAAACCCACAGCTCATAAGTCAGCGCAATAAATGGCCAAATACACTTTCTGGGTTCTAAATCTTCAGGTGCCAAGGACTCAAGCCAACGCAATAAGGAGTCCACCTGTCTGCTCTTCACTGCCGGACAAAACTCCGCGAGCGCGGACCTGAAGGTTGTTTCAAAGGTGGGTGTCGATGAACTGGTGAAAGTGTACTGCCAACGAGGAATGGTGATATGAAAAGGGTCATGACAACATCGGATGTGCCGTCGTTCAGGCGCTTCCGGCATGAACATACTCGTATGCTGAACTGCATCGATCATCATAATTGCTATGAAACATATCGATAATCTGCTATTGAAACAGCAATTTTGTAGTACAACACGCCGACAAAGGGAAGCATAATCAACACCAGCACCTTCGGCCAGATACAGATAATTGGGTTGAATGTCCACTAAGTCGTACGTGTACAACATGAGATCTGACCGTGGAAATGGAAAAAATTCGTGTAGGAAGAGCTCGGAGTTGTTGGCGATGACCAGATAATCAAGCTGCACGCCCAAACATCGTGGTACCATTGTGACTGGGCGTAGCCGGTCCTTCCAATTGCCAGTGAGATAAAAATTCTGGCTTTCGTGGTAACACAGCTCGCAAGAATGTAAGCCATTTCACAGACGTTTTCACGGCAGGTAAAATAACTCAAAATCTGTGTCGTATGCTCAGGCTGATATGGCAGAATTATAAATTGCTGGATAACAACCGACGACAATAAATGGTCAAAATAACTGCACGACCTGAAAAACAAACAGTCTATACAAAAGCAACAAGAGCGTAACTTGACTTCTAACAACATACGATGAAATAAAATAAAATTAGTTAAGCCTTAAATTAAGCCCAGTTTATTTACTGTGAGCTACTGATCTGGGTAAGCGCGCTTTGAGTTCTTTACCGGCTCTTTACCGGCGGAGGCAGTGCTGGTCGAAAACATCTAAATAACCGAAAACCATCAGACACAGTTCCACGTAAAGGTCATCAAAACGGGTTTCATCCAGCTCGTTCAGGTCTGCAATTGTGACAGGTTAGAGGCAAAAGTTTACACAATACAGTAAGGAAATTTTCTTATGACAATTACCATGCTGGAACGTAATAATGGTAAGCATCTCTTCCAGAGCGCGGCGGCACGGAATAATAGTGTCTGACCCAGGAGCAAACAGTCTTTTATACCACTCTCCGGATACCGAGAACACGAGCCCTTCGTCGGCTTCTAGTTTATAGCCTCTTCTACACAGCAGCTCAACTTTGTCTTCGCTAACGCCGAGAAACATAATATTGCGAGTATTTCGCAAAAAACGACTACGAAATGACGGAAACTCCCGGATTCGCTCTAGAGTATCTTCAGTGTTATCCGAAAATTCGTAACTGCGACGTTCTGCGTGGGAGTAAAACATCAGCTGAGCGATGGGGATTGTCACTTGACGAAATGACTGTGGTGTGACTGGCGCTCCGAGATATCCGCGTGGGCGGAGACAGCTGAACGCCATACCGATCTCTGTGCTATGCAGGACCAAATAGCGCTTGACAAAATCACCAAACACGCATACATCTACGTTTACAAGGGATACATTCTCCATGAGTGTGCCGTCAACAAGAAGAACGACGGGTTGCCAGGATTCGGGCTGATTCTCCTCCGCACTAACCAACAGCTCGATTTCTTCTGGCAATGTATTTGGATGAATTAATTTGGATTCCTCGGGATCTACCAAACGCAGTTTATCCATGGGAATGCGCTGTAATCGCTGCATGGAACCCACTCGCACCATACAGTGGTCATTATTGTCGATTCCACACACGTATCCACGATACACAGCATCACCGCCCAAAATATCCACTAGAAAGCGGTCATATACGCCAGCGACAAGCGGGTACCTTCCGATCCGCGGTAGAAAATAACGCTCCATATTCAGTTTCCGCTTTAATAATCGGTTATGTGCAGATTTGGATTATGCACGTACTGTAGAGCGCCCTACAAAGTTAGCCACACGTATGTCTACAGGGAACAGTACAATACATGGGTAGCGTGTGTACTGCTGTAGTAGGTTTCTTTTGACAACTGTATTCACGCTCTTGAGAGT